CAACAAATTAGCCAGCAACGCTTTCCTAGCCTGGTAACCTCCTGTGCTCAGTGGTTTACCAGTCGTACCATTTCCTATAATGAACAATAATGCAATCGTTTTCTTCTCGTAAAAAAAACAGTTTATACTACACAGAAACAAAGAAATTATGAGTTCAGTAACTTACCAATATCAGTCTCTTTATGGTTCTTGATTAATTCTGCCAATTCAAAGTTTCCTGCGATGATGGCCACCTGGAACAGAATGAAAGATTTGTAGTGAGGTATTTATCATATTCACATTTTTAAATCAAGCAAAATGGCTTTTAAAATCTGACCAACTTCAATGGTGGATATGGTATTCATTATAGCAAATTCCTGACTACCAGCTCTGATGGCCACAACATGCGGTGGCTCAGTCATTTGTCAGAAAACAACTTAATTCCCATTGTAAAAGGACTCACTTTCATGAAATGCAACTTGAAATCCGTATAGCTACTAATAATAACACAATAAACAGCAGCCTGGTAAGGGTTGTAGTGTAGTGGGAGGAGGACAGCAGAGCCACAGCCACAACGGGTGAGTCAACACATATCCAGCCAGTAGACCCTGCCGACTGAGGTCACCTTTAGCCACTCCTACATCAGACGGGTCAGTATGGAGTCATATACTTAGAAAGTTTGGCCAATGTGGTTTCTGACTGAACGTTCCGATACCGCCACTTTCTCCTCCATAGCCGTTGCTAAGTGATAATTGAAGCTTCCGTGTTGTGCTGTTTATTTCTGATCGTTTTTAAAACCTACGAAGATGTCCAGTGAAAGCAGATATGCAATTTGTTGACACCACAAAACAGTAAAGACTTGGATACACATTATCCCGAACGCTAATGAATAAAAACTTGTGTAAAAGTCCCTGCTCTGTTTTGTTTGTTTACATTTCATAGGGAACTGTCGGAGGCGCTCTCGTATTGTTACATCGCTCTGTTAACATGGCGTCCGTTTTAAAACCTGACCGAACACTCTCTATATCGATAAAATAATGTATGTGCTAACTGTAAGTCGCTCTGGATAAGAGCGTCTGCTAAATGACTAAAATGTAAATGTATATACGGCTCTGGGTCAGTGGAGTAGGAGAGTTTTATCTCTATGGGTACGGTATAGTCACTGAAAACTGTGTGACTAGACTACCTCTCTCATGGAAATCCTGAATAAACTCAACCCTCCATCTCTATCCCAAATATGAAATTGGCTTCATGTGGGAAAACAAATACATCACCTTTTTGAGCTCATTAAATAAAAGAACCCAAAAATATGCAGCAATTATCAATTACACTACTGAAATGAGTTACATTAATTAACCTATTATTGTAATACAGAAATAACCCTACAGAAGTTATTGGATTGGAGTAGTAGTGTTGCAGTGTAATGCATGCTAGAATAGAGAATGAGGCTGAATAATGTCCAGCTGATGGTTCGATGATGAGGGCCAGGAGGTCCCCACTCCCCTCTGAGGGGAGACAACAGAAGACATGACTCCTACTTCCCATCATCCTCTCCTCCCAGAAACAACCTTCTGCTCACTATAGCAACCCCTCTTAACCCTGAAACGCTGAAACACTCTGTTCTGCTGTCTGTTTACCTTATTCCAAACCTTATGGGGAGGTAGGCTAAGTTATGATGTTACAGTATAGCCATGATGATACCGCCTCTTAACCCTGCACAGTTCAACACAGCACAGACTCTGTTCCTCCGTTGTCTGTTTACCTGGTCCCAAACCATATGTAGGTAAGTTATGATGGCTAGGCAGAGAGAGGGGGAGAGAGAGAGACGGACAGCAAAACTAGGGGACTGAGAAACAAAGAGCAGAGGGATAGTGAGAGAGAGCGAGAGAGAGAGAGAGAGCAAGAGAGAGAGAGAGAGAGATAGAGAGGGAGAGGGAGAGAGAGAGAAAGAGAGAGAAAGTCTTCTCATGCTTTATTGACTTCAAAAAAGCTTTCGACTCAATTTGGCATGAGGGTCTGCTATACAAATTGATGGAAAGTCCATCTACACAAACAATAAGTGTTCAGTTAGAATTGGAAAAAAACACACACATTTCTTTCCACAGGGCCATAGGGTGAGACAGGGATGCAGCTTAAGCCCCACCCTCTTCAACATACTGTATATATCAAACAAATTGGCGAGGGCACTAGAACACCCTACCAGAATCTGAAGTCAAATGTCTACTGTTTGCTGATGATCTAGTGCTTCTGTCCCCAACCAAGGAGGGCCTACATCAGCACCTAGATCTTCTGCACAGATTCTGTCAGACAGTAAATCTCAGTAAGACAAAAATAATGGTGTTCCAAAAACGTTCCAGTTGCCAGGACCACAAATACAAACTCCATCTAGACACCGTTGCCCTAGAGCACACAAAAAACGATACATACCTCAGCCTAAACATCAGCGCCACAGGTAACTTCCACAAAGCTGTGAACGATCTTAGAGACAAGGCAAGAAGGGCCTTCTATGCCATCAAAAGGAACATAAAATGTGACATTCTATAACTTGAATCAGTTATAGAACCCATTGCCCTTTATGGTTGTGAGGTCTGGGGTCCGCTCACCAACCAAGAATTCACTAAATGGGACAAACACCAAATTGAGACTCTGCATGCAGAATTCTGTAAAAATATCCTCTGTGTACAATGTAAAACACCAAATAATGCATGCAGAGCAGAATTAGGCCGATACAAAATCCAGAGAAGAGACGTTAAATTCTACAACCACCTAAAAGGAAGCGATTCCCAAACCTTCCATTACAAAGCCATCACCTACAGAGAGATGAACCTGGAGAAGAGTCCCCTAAGCAAGCTGGTCCTGGGGCTCTGAAGGATGAGAGCCAGGGAAGGTGTACCTTGTCGCTAACCATATGGAGATAAGGTGAGGTATGATGGCTGGGTGTTCCTTGTCCCTAACCATATGGAGGTAAGGTGAGGTATGATGGCTGGGTGTTCCTTGTCCCTAACCATATGGAGGTAAGGTGAGGTATGATAGCTGGGTGTTCCTTGTCCCTAACCATATGGAGGTAAGGTGAGGTATGATGGCTGGGTGTTCCTTGTCCCTAACCATATGGAGATAAGGTGAGGTATGATGGCTGGGTGTTCCTTGTCCCTAACCATATGGAGGTAAGGTGAGGTATGATGGCTGGGTGTTCCTTGTCCCTAACCATATGGAGGTAAGGTGAGGTATGATGGCTGGGTGTTCCTTGTCCCTAACCATATGGAGGTAAGGTGAAGTATGATGGCTGGGTGTTCCTTGTCCCTAACCATATGGAGGTAAGGTGAAGTATGATAGCTGGGTGTACTAGAAGTGGGACAGGATGTGATGTTGGGATGAAAGTAGGCCAGGAAAGAGGAGCATGAAGTGAAGTGCTCCAATTTCCTCTGAATCAGTGGATACGTCCCAAATGGCACCCTATTCCCTCCATAGTGCACTACCTGTGACCAGGGCCCATAGTATACTATATAGGGAATAGGGTGCCATTTGGAACGCAACCTGAGTCTCAGCACTTAATTTGCTACCATCAGTCAGCAGATGCCTGCCTAACTGGACAGACTTAATCAGAATTTGATTGGACGAGGCGAATTAGGTTTATGGCCCCCTTCAAATTAGCTGTAATTAAGGAGTCATTGAGGCAGGAAACATCATTTTATTTGAAGTATTTTAAGTGTGAAGGGATGGATGAATAATAGAGAGAATTAGAGGACGCATCAGCGCTCAGCGGAAATGTACATTATATAAACAGCATCACTCCACTGACTCCTACATGATGCAAGAGAAGACAGTTGGCTCAGGTGGGGATCGAGGAGTTTAGAGTAACTGGGGAGTTCAGACTGCTAAGAGAGCATGAGGAGGTAAAGAGGAGATTTGGTGGAAGATGTTTATTTGTGTGCTTGATAAAAATGAACCTCATGCAGTAGTTCTTATTTTGCCATGCTGTTTAAATAGCAGCTGTACAGGCCTACTGCCAATACAAAATGGGTCAAAACAATTTGTGTATGAATTCACGGCTTAATTATTTCTGGGATGTGGAATTATCTGCATTAAAAGATTATGGTAAACAGGGTAGGGATGATGAATGCGAAAATGCGAAAATATAGTCAAGTACAGCTAGGAAGCTATTCATTATCCATACCCCTTTTTGACTTCAACCCCCTAAATGCATCACACCTACAGTATGACTAATTGGTAGTTGGAGTTTTAGAACACTGTGGAATGCTGACACATGCATACAAACAACCATTAAAACATGAATAATTCTCCCAGAACCACTGACTGCTTTTTCACAGAGGGATGTCTTACATAAAATACTGCCATATAAGGAACCATTGACTCATAAACAGCTTTGTTTAACAACCTAAAAATACGTCCATTCTGTTTGTACCATCTTGCTTTTCCCTTTTAAAACCACACGTGAACAAAATCTGACTGAAAACACAGACTGAGACTGATCTGCTGGCCAAAATACTACTGCAAAGAAACAAAATGAAGGGTTGCAATGTTATGAAGCTTCACCACAACAAGCATCTTAAGGTATCACATAATACACTACAGATGTAAGACCTCTTTTGTTGCTGAGAATTGTCCTGCACAGCAGGAAATGCAAACTTATAGTGTATTCAAGGTTTAAAAAGGCTTGTAAAGTTTGTAATTTCCACTTTAAAATGTCAGACTTGATTTGACCTAAAGAAAAAAGTATCAACCCCTACAAAAATGTCCATTAATTATAATCCACATAATAATTCACATTTCCTGTTGCTGCAGGATTATTTTCCTGCTGTAGCAAACTGGCTCAAATTAAGATCCTACATATGTAGCTCTCTACTGATGTAATTCATCTGAGAAACATAACAAATGACCATTATATAGCATACCAGAGTGAAGCAATGTATTGGGTATGCATTGCAAGTGGCATACTAGCATGGAGAATGGAATGCAGCGATCTATGTTTAACAGCAAGCCTGTACTGTGAGCAGTAAATGTTAGAGGTGTGAGTCAGTCCATACCTGGAATGGTGTCTGGCTTCTGTAGTTCTTAACTTCCTTGTCAGCACCACGAACGAGCAGTACTCTGGCACAGTGTTCCTTAGGGAGGACGAAAGGGGAAAAGAGAGAGAGAGAGAACAGAGTAAGACACTAGAAGGTGTGACCAACCGTCATTCATTTCAACATTCCAGAATGGGGTACCACTCAGAACAAGGTGCATATCAGACAACTCATCTACGGCTATCTCTAGCGACTACTGCTGCTGCGCTCGTGCTAGGTCGCTTGCTCCGATACTCGCTCTTGGTGGAAAGGGAGGGAGAGAGAGAGGAGAGAGAGCAGAGAGAGAGAGAGGAAGAGAGAGGAGAAGGAGATGGACGGAGACAGAGTAGAACCTAGGCGAGAGGGCAGAGTAAAGAGCAAGAAAGCGTAGAGAGGTAGAGGATAGAGATGGCGAGAATAGAAAGAAAATGAACAAGCGAGAAAGACGAGTACGTATGAACTGAGTCGTATATAATGATATTAGAAAGTTTAAGTCACTAGATCGTTACCTGCATCTCAGTCTCTCTTCTCTCGAGCACTCTCGCTCATCTCGTCTCATCTGTGTACGATCTCGACGATACCTCATTGCAGCCAGCTACTGTATATATATCTGTAATCGAACACTTAACGAGGGAAAAAACCAGAAACACTTGATCAAGATTCATTCCATCATGATTAGCACGATTAGAACATCAGAAATGATCATTCATAATATCAGAATGAAGATCCAGACTAAGTGATGAAGACTCATCTGACATTGTGTGAGAGAGCTCACCTCTGTGCTGATGATCTTGTCTATGTTCCAGGTACAAGGCTCTCAGCTCCGAAAGTATCTCGGTGCAGTGAACATGTAGTTGAAGCTCGTGAGATACATCAAGAGAGAATCAGCCTTGGTAATGTAGTGTCAAAGCAAAGGCCTCTCCCTTCAGCTCTACCAGAAAAGGATTCTCGGTTTGTGCCAGTGAACACATGTAGTGTGAAGCTCGGTGAGAAAATCAAGAGAGAATCAGCCTCTGGTAACTGTATGTGTCACTGCAGCCCGCTTCAGCCTGCTGCAAGCTGGATTCAGCAGCCCACCCACAGAAACCCCACTACAAACACACACACACATTCACGTGCATGTGAACACACACATACAGGCGCGCGGGCCCACACACACACAGTCAGGCACACTTGCACACACACACACGCACACACACACATCACACACACACCACAGTTCGAGCTCATCCTCCTCCTACTTGCTCTTATTATATTCTACTGCCACTAGTCATCAGATAAATAAAATATGGCAGATATCTACAATAATAATATTACGTGTACAAGCCCCAACCCACACATATCAGACTGCTATTTGAACTGAAGGTTAAATCCGCGAAGTTCATCCCTCCTAGTGGCTGTCATTATAGCCATTAGATCACACTAAAGCTGTCATGCAAAAGGGCATCTAATCAGAAAGCCAGGGAAATAAACCCAGCCTGTAGGAGCAGAGCAGAGCAGTCGAGGGAAGAGATTACACAACAGCAAACACAAAGAGAGGAAGTCATAATCTCTCTCTCTCTCTCTCTCTCTCTCTCTCTCGCTCTCTCTCTCTCTCTCTCTCTCGCTCTCTCTCTCTCTCTCGTCTCTCTCTCTCTCGTCTCTCTCTCTCTCTCTCTCTCTCTCTCTCAGTCTCTGTGAATAATGACACAGCGTGTAGAAAGGCTTAATGATCTGTGCCATAGCTCATGGGAGCAGTGACCCCTACAGACAACAGGGCAGATATCTCACACACACATCCCATGCTCAAACCACTATCTGGAAAAAGTGTGTGTGTGTGTATATAATTATTATTATTATTTGGTTGGTGCTTGTATTTGTCCTGTTACACACATGTGCAAGTGTGTATTATACACGTGTGTGAAATGGAAATGTATTTTTTGTATATCCCAACTCCCCCTGACATACCCTTGGATAGTGGGGTCACGGTCATAATTGGTTTCCATTGATCTCTAAACGCATACAGAGCCTGATAGATGGACAAATGTCTAAATGTTAAGATGATATTGCCTTGTGTTCCCCCAGGAAGTGTTCCCCCGGGATGTGTTCCCCCAGGAAGTGTTCCCCCGGGATGTGTTCCCCCAGGAAGTGTTCCCCCGGGATGTGTTCCCCTAGGATGTGTCCATCTCAGATTGATCCTCATCAGTGTATCCAGTAAATCTTTACCCATGTGAAGAATCAACAGGATACACAACAACAAAACAATTATGCACGCTTTGGATAAAAGCGTCTGCTAAATGGCATATTATTATTATTATTATTATTATAATTATTAATCCTAATTGCCCCCTTGGGGTCAATTCCATTTAAATTCAGTCAATCGGTTTACTTCCTGAATTGACTAAATTCAAATGGAATTGACCCCAACCCTGATTACTATGAGCCTAATATACTAGTATACCAATACAATATACTAGTATACAAATACAATGTACTAGTATACCAATACAATATACTAGTATACAAATACAATATACTAGTATACCAATACAATGTACTAGTATACCAATACAATGTACTGGTATACCCATACAATATACTAGTATACCAATACAATATACTAGTATACCAATACAATGTACTAGTGGTATAATAAAAGCAATGTACAGTAGATGGTACAATATAAAGCCCCTCTGTACAGTAGATGGTACAATATAAAGCCCCTCTGTACAGTAGATGGTACAATATAAAGCCCCTCTGTACAGTAGATGGTACAATATAAAGCCCCTCTGTACAGTAGATGGTACAATATAAAGCCCCTGTGTGCAGTAGATGGTACAATATAAAGCCCCTCTGTACAGTAGATGGAACAATATAAAGCCCCTCTGTACAGTAGATGGAACAATATAAAGCCCCTCTGTACAGTAGATGGAACAATATAAAGCCCCTCTGTACAGTAGATGGTACAATATAAAGCCCCTCTGTACAGTAGATGGTACAATATAAAGCCCCTCTGTGCAGTAGATGGTACAATATAAAGCCCCTCTGTGCAGTAGATGGTACAATATAAAGCCCCTCTGTACAGTAGATGGTACAATATAAAGCCCCTCTGTACAGTAGATGGAACAATATAAAGCCCCTCTGTACAGTAGATGGAACAATATAAAGCCCCTCTGTACAGTAGATGGTACAATATAAAGCCCCTCTGTACAGTAGATAGTCCAATATAAAGCACCTCTGTACAGTAGATGGAACAATATAAAGCCCCTCTGTACAGTAGATGGAACAATATAAAGCCCCTCTGTACAGTAGATGGAACAATATAAAGCCCCTCTGTACAGTAGATGGTACAATATAAAGCCCCTCTGTACAGTAGATGGTACAATATAAAGCCCCTCTGTGCAGTAAATGGTACAATATAAAGCCCCTCTGTGCAGTAGATGGTACAATATAAAGCCCCTCTGTACAGTAGATGGTACAATATAAAGCCCCTCTGTACAGTAGATGGTACAATATAAAGCCCCTCTGTACAGTAGATGGAACAATATAAAGCCCCTCTGTACAGTAGATGGAACAATATAAAGCCCCTCTGTACAGTAGATGGAACAATATAAAGCCCCTCTGTACAGTAGATGGTACAATATAAAGCCCCTCTGTACAGTAGATGGTAAATATAAAGCCCCTCTGTACAGTAGATGGTACAATATAAAGCCCCTCTGTACAGTAGATGGTACACTATAAAGCCCCTCTGTACAGTAGATGGTACAATATAAAGCCCCTCTGTACAGTAGATGGTAAATATAAAGCTCTTAACCACTAGGCTACGTGCTGCCTTGGTGGTGTGTGGATTGGTGCTCTGCTGGTTTGGCTTCTGGTCTCTTACCTCTTTGTATAGAGCACAGATGTGTAGAGCCGTGTTTCCAGAGGCGTTCATGACACTCATATCTGCTCCATAGAACAACAGCTGCTCCAAGTGCTGGACATGTCCATATCTACATGCCTGTCACACAAACACAGAGACCAAGTCAAATAATGTCCATGCCGACGGGTCTGCCACACAAACACAGAGACCAAGTCAAATAATGTCCATACCGACAGGTCTGCCACACAAACACAAAACAAATCACAAAGAACAGGTCAAAACAAAAGAAAATGAAACAATCCATATAGTTATAGCATAAGGCAAACCGGAACTATCATAGAAAATATGACCAACCAAACATATAGAAAGTCATTGATTGGCGAGAGAAGTCTCTCCTGGTTTGTGTTTACGTGGATGATATAGACTATCCACTCAGGAGTCACGCACATATTCTATGCAGTGTCCTGTTCTTTACACTAGATGTCAGTCAGAGTACCATCTGAGCTGAGCTTTTAAATATACTGCATCTGTTGTAATGCCCCTGATGGTCTAGGCAAGCATGCTTCTCCAAGGTCTATCAAAAGGCTAATATCTATAATCAACTACAAGATAGCTTATTCAAGACAGTCCATATAGCAATGGCTTGGGTTAAAATGTGGTTTTATACTGTGTGAGGGTTACTTCAATGTGGGTCTCATCTAAACCACTGAGTAGACCACATTGGTGGCAGATGAACTGACGCTCTTCGCTTTAATTAAGCAATAAGGCCCTAGGGAGTGTGGTATATGGCCAATATACCACGGCTAAGGACTGTTCTTAGGCACAATGCAACGCGGACCCCCGAGGTGCCTTATTGCTAATATAAACTAGTTACCAACGTAATTAGAGCAGTAAAAATACATGTTTTGTCATACCTGTGGTATATGGTCTGATATACCACGGCTGTCAGCCAATCAGCATTCAGGGCTCGAACCACCCAGTTTATAATACCATATAAAACACTGAGTCTTTGGAAAAGCCCTATGTACGTCCAATCAATTATTAGTATAATTATTAGACAGCGCCACCTGGTGTATCTCGTGCCAGCCGTTCTCGTCGTGGCAGGAGACGGTGGCGCGGGCCCTCAGCAGGAGCTCACAGCAGCCTGAGTCTCCTCCCACCAGGACTGTGTGGTACAGGGGGGTCAGACTTTGGCTGTCCTTGTAGTCTGGGGAAGCACCTAGTTCCAGTAGAGCCTGGGGAAAGAGCGAGGGTGAGGGTGAGGGTGAGGGTGAGGGTGAGGGTGAGGGTGAGGGTGAGGGTGAGGGTGAGGGTGAGCCCTTCAGGTGTGAAGGGAAGTTGCTGCTAGACGCTGATCTTAGGTAAATGTTTCCATTTCCCCCACTAATGGATAAGGTTAGGATTGGGGAAGGGGAAGCTGATACTACATATGTACATAGGGGAAACTTCACCCGGAGAAACATTTTACTTAAAGCCTGCAGGTATAATGGTTTATAACTTGTTATAAACATGTATGAACATCTATATTGCTTTACAATATGTTATGTCTCTCTATGTAGGACGTTTTCAACTATTATACCTAAATGTGGGGTGTTATGGGATAGATTGTTCATAACATCTAAGAGTATCAGTCGATCCCAATTCTTTCTCTATCTCATCCCTTGGCCCTAACACTTCCATGTTTGCAGACCTGAAGGGTGTAGATAAAAACGGTAGTGGTGGAGTTTCCACTATATTGCTTCCACCTTACAGATCTGCACACATCAAAGGGTAAGCCCGAGGGGAAGGGGTGGAGAGCGAATTGGGGCCAACTTATTATATAAGCTGTAAAAAGTTGCTGGATAACCTTCAGTGTGACCTGATTCTTGGCTCTGACTGCTTTGTGGAGAGCGGTCATCCCATCTTGTGATCTGAAGTCAAGATGTGCTCCACCGTGTTTCAGTACAGCGATGACCTGTGCCACATTGTCCAGGTGGGCTGCGAAGGTCAGAGGAGTTTCTACAATACAAACACACAACATGGTGTTTACTGTTATAGATCTTTTTTTAAACAGAAACATACGTTTATTGCATTAACATCATCAAATAAATTGCTATGGGTACGTTTCCTGGACATCGTTTAAGCCTTGTCCTGGACTAGATGCCATGTTCAATGAAGAATGGCTATCGAAATAGCTTTTTAGTTCAGGTCTAGGCTTTGTCTGGGAAACCAGCCCTATAAGTCCCACAGAATGAGGTGCACAAAAACACAAGCAATTGCACTCTAGCCGTAAACTCAGACTTTCATCTGAGGTGAGCCGATCTCTAATTTCTCTCCTCAGTAAACTAAGACATCCATAATTGATCTGACATTGTTTACTTTTAGCAGCAGATGCTGTATAAAACAAAATAAGGTGCACATCACATTGAATCACAGTCAGTGTGTGTGTGTGTGTGTGTGTGTGTGTGTGTGTGTGTGTGTGTGTGTGTGTGTGTGCGTGCGTGTGTGTGTGTGTGTGTGTGTGTGTGCGTGCGTGTACGTGTCCATGTGTGTGTGTAGCGTACCACCAGTGTCTGGGTCGTGGTAGTTTGGGTCGAGGCCTTTCTCCAGCATCTTTGCTAGTTTATCCAGCTGGTGATGCTGAATGTGGTCCATTAATTTCCTATAGTTAGCCTACAGGTAAGAGGGAGCAGGTAGAGAGAAGGATGGAGAGAGAGACGGACAGGTGAACAACAGGGTGGTATTCATTGGTGTACATCATAACAAAACAAGAAGAGAGAGAGAGAGAGAGAGAGGAGAGAGAGAGAGAGAGAGAGAGAGAGGGGGGAAAAAAAAACAGCAAAAACATGTACATGATCAATTACAAATCTTAGAGTCAGATTCTCCAATTACATTGAATGAACTACAGGACAAAATACAAACTCTCTAACACAAAAAGGCCTGTGGTGTTGATGGTATCCTAAATGAAATGATAAAATATACAGACCATAAATTCCAATTGGCCATACTTACGCTCTTTAACATCATCCTCAGCTCTGGCATCTTCCCCAATATTTGGAACCAAGGACTGATCACCCCAGTCCACAAAAGTGGAGACAAATTTGACCCCAATAACTATCGTGGGATATGCGTCAACAGCAACCTTGGGAAAATCAGTCCTCAGTGAAATCAATGTACTGAGCAAACATCAAATTGGCTTTTTAACAAATTACCGTATGACAGACCACATATTCACCCTGCACACCCTAATTGACAAACAAACAAACCAAAACAAAGGCAAAGTATTCTCATGATTTGTTGATTTCAAAAAAGCTTTTGACTCAATTTGGCATGAGGGTCTGCTATACCAATTGGTGGAAATCAGTGTTGGGGGAAAAACATACAACAATATAAAAATCTATGTACACAAACAACAAGTGTGTGGTTAAAATTGGCAAGAAACACACATATCTTTCCACAGGGCTGTGGGGTGAGACAGGGATGCAGCTTAAGCCCCACCCTCTTCAACATATACTGTATATCAACAAATTGGCGCAGGCACTAGAACAGTCTGCAGCACCCGTCCTAACCCTACTAGAATCTGAAGTCAAATGTCTACTGTTTACTGATGATCTGGTGCTTCTGTCTCCGATCAAGGAGGGCCTACAGCAGCACCTAGACCTGGACAGCACCTAGATCTGTCAGACCTGGACCCTTACAGATAATTTCAGTAAGACAAAAATAATGGTGTTCAAAAAGGTCCAGTTGCAAGGACCATAAATAGAAATTCCACCTAGACACTGTTGCCCTAGAGTACACAAAAAACTATACCTACCATGGCCTAAACATCAGCACCACAGGTAACTTCCACAAAGCTGTGAACGATCTGAGAGACAAGGCAAGAAGGGCCTTCTACGCCATCAAAAGGAACATAACGTTTGATATCCCAATTAGGATCTGGCAAAAAACACTTGAATCAGTTATAGAACCCATTGCCCTCTATGGTTGTGAAGTCTAGCGTCCATTCATCAACCAAGAATTCACAAAATGGGACAAACATCAAATTGAGACTGCATGCAGAATTCTACAAAAACATCCTCTGTGTACAACGTAAAACACAAAATAATGCATGCAGAGCAGAATAAGGATGATTCCCGCTAATTATAAAAATCCAGAAAAATCCAGAAAATAGCAATTCAATTCTACAACCTAAAAAGAAGCGATTCTGAAACATTCCAACCTTCTCTCCCTAGCTCAGGCCTCTATACCCACCTGCTTCAAGATGTCCACTATCATCCTTTTGCCCAAGAATGGGAACGTAACTGAACTCACTTCCGTCAACATGAACTGCTTCGAGAGGCAAGTCAAAGACCATATCACCTCCTCCTTCCCCGACACACTCGACCCTCTACAATTTGCTTACCTCCCTGACAGATCCACGGACGACGCAATCGCCATTGCACTGCACACTGCCCTTACCCACCTGGACAAAAGGAATGCATATGTGAGGATGCTGTTCATCGACTACAGCTCGGCCTTCAATACCATAGTGCCCTATAAGCTCATTACAAAGCTCACGGCCCTGGGTCTGAACTCCTCCCTTTGCAACTGGGTCCTGGACTTCCTGACGGGCCCCCCCAGGTGGTGAAGGTAGGCAACATTACATCCTCGACACTGATCCTCAACATGGGGGCCCCACAAGGGTGCATCTTCAGTCCCCTCCGGTATTCTCTGATGATGTCATGGCTTTAGAAGCTTCTGATAGGCTAATTGACATCATACCTGTGGATGTATTTCAAGGCCTACCTTCAAACTCAGTGCCTCTTTGCTTGACATCATGGGAAAATCAAAAGAAATCAGCCAAGACCTCAGAAAGAAAATTGTAGACCTCCACAAGTCTGGTTCATTCTTGGGAGCAATTTCCAAACACCTGAAGGTTCCATTTTCATCTGTACAAACAATAGTACGCAAGTATAAACACCATGCGACCACGCAGCCGTCATACCGCTCAGGAAGGAGACGCGTTCTGTCTCCTAGAGATGAACGTACTTTGTTGCAAAAAGTGCAAATCAATCCCAGAACAACAGCAAAGGACCTGGTGAAGATGCTGGAGGAAACAGGTACAAAAGTATCTATATCCACAGTAAAACTAGTCCTATATCGACATAACCTGAATGGCCGCTCAGCAAGGAAGAAGCCACTGCTCCAAAACCGCCATAAAAAAGCCAGACTATGGTTTGCAACTGCACAATGGGACAAATATCGTACTTTTTGGAGAAATGTCCTCTGGTCTGATGAAACAAAAATAGAACTGTTTGGCCATAATGACCATCGTTGTGTTTGGAGGGAAAAGGGGGTTGCTTGCAAGCCGAAGAACACCATCACAACCGTGAAGCACGGGGGTGGCAGCATCATGCTGTGGGGGTGCTTTGCTGCAGGAGGCACTGGTGCACTAAACAAAATAGATGGCATCATGAGGAAGGAAAATTATGTGGATATATTGAAGCAACATCTCAAGACATCAGTCAGGAAGTTAAAGCTTGGTCGCAAATGGGTCTTCCAAATGAACAATGACCCCAAGCATACTTCCAAAGCTGTGGCAAAATGGCTTAAGGACAACAAAGTCAAGGTATTGGAGTGGCCATCACAAAGCCCTGACCTCAATCCTATAGAAAATGTGTGGCCAGAACTGAAAAAGCGTGTGCGAGCAAGGAGGCATACAAACCTGACTCAGTTACACCAGCTCTGTCAGGAGGAATGGGCCAAAATTCACCCAACTTATTGTGGGAAGCTTGTGGAAGGCTACCCGAAACGTTTGACCCAAGTTAAACAATTTAAAGGCAATGCTACCAAATACTAATTTAATGTATGTAAACTTCTGACCCACTGGGAATGTGATGAAAGAAATAAAAGCTTAAATAAATCATTCTCCCTACTATTATTCTGACATTTCACATTCTTAAAATAAAGAAGACCAAAGACAGGGAATTTTTACTAGGATTAAATGTCAGGAATTGTGAAAAACCGAGTTTAAATGTATTTGGCTAAGGTGTATGTAAACTTCCGACTTCAACTGTACATATCTTTCTCAAATACCTCGTACTTCTGCACATTGATCTGGTACTGGTACTCCCTGTATATAGCTCCCCATTGATCAGGTACTGGTACTCCGTGTATATAGCTCCATTATTGTGTATTCCATTTTATTCCTCTTCTGTTACTATTTGATTTATATTTTTAAACTCTGCATTGTTGGGGAAGGGCTCGTATGGAATTATTTCATGGTAAAGTCTATACCAGTTGGCAGATGTGACAAAAAACATTTGATTTGATTTGAGGTTGGTAAAGCAGGGGCGTCAGGTGATGGTTCCTCAGGTCTCTCCACTGCTGTTCCTCTCATGGTGCTTTCCCAAGGACTGATCCAGGGACACATGCTGCTTTCCAGGCCACTTATAAATAGTTAAGAGAGCAGGTCCCAGAGCTGAGCTGAACAGCGCCAGGCAGTGAGGGAGAGAGGCTTGTCTGCAGCCTTCAGGCAGGACAGAGACACTGCAGGGGGACTGACGCTGGCCAGAGCACGCATACGCAGTTACACTTTGAACAACTCCAACACACACACACCACACACACAGGCTTGCGTGTGCACACACACACACACACACACACACACACACACAGTGGACTTGAAAGGCCAGGGAAAACAGCGTGAAGGGAACTTGATTGGTCAATTATTTAGTATGGCATTCCTGTTTGATCCAGAAGGAGGACATTGATGGGAATTCTCCTGGACTCAGCTGATGTCTGTCTCAATCAAATACTGAATCATGTTAAATACGTACCTGCTGAATAGTGAACCCATGGAAATTCTACACTTCAATTATTCACACTTTATATTCAGCTTGTAGATGAATAGGGCATTAATTCTAACAGTATTACAGAGAGAGAACCTGAGATGTTCTTTCACTCATGATATCAAAAAAATCTCAAAGACAAGCTCCGTTAATAATATCCTTTTCCACACGACTGTAATAACTCTACTGGCCTTGACATTTCCTTTTCACATTGACCTTTTCAACATGGTTCCAGAAATGGCGGATACAGGGTATAACTGTCCAAGCTATAGCTTTCACCCGATACAATACAATAACTTACACCAGCCGATGATATTCACTGTCATTGAAATAAATATAATGAATCTATTGTACAACCTGAAAGAAGTGAAAAAGGGAATTTAAATCCCTTCATTTCTTTGTCTCACCTGCGTGTGGATTTTGGCGATCTGCTTCTCGTTCACATTTGGCTGTTGATAGACCCGGCTCTTATAACGGAACTGCAAATAGGAGAAGAAAAATTGCTTCAACACTTTACTTAAAACCAAAAGGTATAATACATTATGATGTAGTATGAGACTTGTCGTGAGCATTTATGACTTCTAATCATCTCATGATGATCCTGACTAAACAACCAGTCACAATCATACCCAGCTGGCAGCACTGCTACTGATGATCTATATATTTAATACTAAGTAAGGTGTACCACTACCAGAGAAGATTGCCCAGTCAGCCAGTAATTAAAACTTCAGTCAAGTACTAGCGATACCAGGGGACCCCTGACTGAGGAGATACAGAACAAAGAACACAGCCAGGGAGAGCCAGGAGGGAGTTTCCAGCTATGCTGCCTCATCACAATTCAGCTGAGCTGTTTGGAAAACAAAGACTTATTATAGTGATGCAGTCCCTTGATCATTCATTAAGTGGCTGAATTCTTCCAGATTAGATTCTTTGATAATGATCAAACAGAAGAAGTGCTTCTGTAGGGTGGGATACAGCAGCATGTCCAGTGCTGTGTTAAGACTGGACCCCAGGGATGGAGCAGTGCTGAAGAAATGAAGTAGATAGGGCCTGCACACACAATCCACAGCAACGTCGTGCTAGCCTAATAAGGAATGTTCTGGAGCGATCCGTGACGTATGTTTGACAATACAGGATTACTGGACCTGTGGGATGGAGCAGTACTGGAGAAATGAAGTAGGGCCTGTGACTCATGGGGCAGCGCACAATTGGCCCAGCCTCGTCCAGGGTAGGGGAGGGAATGGCTGGCAGGGATGTAGCTCAGTTGGTAGAGCATGGCGTTTGCAACGCCAGGGTTGTGGGTTCGATTCCCACGGGGGGCCAGTATGAAACATTTTTAAAAAAATAATGTATGCACTCACTAACTGTAAGTCGCTCTGGATAAGAGCGTCTGCTAAATGACTAAAAATGTAAATGTAAAATGCACACACAATTGCTCCACCACATACTTTATAGGCTAGTATAACGTTTTGAGCCAAGAATGCCCCTTTGTGACATGACGAAGATCCAATCTTGGATCAAAATGTGCTTGTCTTGTATGTTGTGGAGAAATCAGTGATGTGCGTTTGACCATACAGACTAATGGAGCAGAACTGAATGGTTACTGTACCTCCAGAGTGGGGACCCCCTTGGTGTTGGTGGGAGTGGGGTAGTCTTTAAGGGGACACTCCTCATCCAGGAAGCCGGACTCTCGGCCCTCCACAGCGGGCTGGAAGAGGCCGTAGTTCAGCACGTCCCTCAAAGTCTGGGTCAGTGTACACAGGATCTGCTGCTTAGCAACCCACACCGTGGCCTCCGGCTTAAACCTCATACATTTCTGCTCCAAAACAAACACACACACACACAATCAGGGATAGACAAAAATTACCAAATACAAATACAAAATACCATTAAGATCAATGTATCAAAATAAACTTGTATTTAGTAATGTATTTCATTAAAATACATGCATTTTGTATTTTAAAATACAGAAATAAATTTGCAAGTAGCCAGCCTGAACAGCAACAACATTCCCAGTAATGGTTACAAAAACGTTTTTCTTGCTATGACTGTGATATGTTGTTGTTTATCAACTTTAGTTGACCAAGTCACTCTGGATAAGAGTGTCTGCTAAATGACCAAAATGTTCATTTATATGTGAAAATGAACAAACCAAAATGAACTGTAAAGCACACTGGGTATTATTATTGGCCTTGTTTCGTGGCTGAGCTCATTAGAATAATACTCAGCATGCGTTGCAATTGTTCATTTTTACATTTACATTTTAGTCATTTAGCAGACGCTCTTATCGAGAGCGAGTTACAATTAGTGCATTCATATCACAATCGTATCAAGTACATTTTCCCTCAACAAAGTATTTATCAACATTTTTACATATACATTTATATTTAGTTCATTTAGCAGACACTCTTATCACACCATAGTGCTATCAGACTTCTGATAACAATGCAGGGTGAAAGGGGGTTCACAAAATGTGAACTGCTATAAAAAAAATTGTATGGAAAAGTATTTTGAAAATACAAATTACAGTATTTTGAAAATACTAAATACTTTGGAGTGTAGTTCAGCCCAGTGTAATTAAAATTACAAAATACTCAGAAGTAATTCAAATACGTATTTCAAATACATGTAACAGAAATACTGCCCATCTCTACACACAATGGTGTCAGTTTTAAACCTCATACATTTCTGCTGCAACACAAATACAAAACATTCAGAGATCATACAAACATACCAAACCTGGACTTTAAACATAGACTTTTGCTCCAAAACATTAGACGACACATTTAGCGTCGGGTTTAAAACATACATTTTTGCTCCAAAACATTAGACGACACATTTAGCGTCGGGTTTAAAACATAAATTTCTGCTCCAAAACAAACAAACACAAAACACACATGCAGATTTTACATTCTGGCAGCAGGTGCTAACAGATGGAGAAACAATAGCTCACATCTCCTTGCCAAGCTACCAGTGTCTGTGAATAAATAGCTTTTATTTAAAGTAGAAAAGACTAGGAAGCACAGTATAAAACAGTATGGAAATGTCTCCTAGTGATATTCTGTTACAGTAATTAGTTATCCCTTTGCTCTACAGAAGCAGGCCATTTCATATTCATAAAGTTGTTTGCCAGAGGTGCACGCTACACAGTATTGGTGGTGGAAAAAACAATAACTGAAATTAGTTCAATCAATTAGTAACGATTATAGCGGAGCGTTACGCCTGTTATCCAGAAAATATTTTTTTTGTATTGGTTTATATGAGAGTGCATGTTCTTTTGTGATAAGGCATATGAAAACAGCAGCACTTCTCAACAAGCAAGTATGTATTTCTGTGGCAGAATAACCTAGCCACCGATTTCCAATAGCTGGCTTTTCTCCCTCATTCATATCTATCAAACTGATTGGCTGAGAACAGTGTGACATTTAGCTTATACATCATACAGTGCATAGCTATTGTAGCTCACTCTTTCACATTGACTGTATGCTGCTAGGCTGGGACAAACATCCCACATATCACACAATTGCTATGACCGAATTTATTTTTACAGCTTTGTGCTTTACTTACAAATACTACTAGCCCAGGGGTTCCAGTCTTTCACATAAGCAACATGCAGTGACAAACTGCAGTAACAACTATGTCGTAATTCCAACCAGCGCGCAGCACCCCAACAATTTTCAGTGCAGTAGAACTACTGGTTTTGGAGCCTAGAGCAAAGCAGTGGGTGAACTATGTTGTCGCCTAGACTATTGTACTTGTCTTTTCATCTACTCTCACCCTGCACTGATTCTGCAGATAGCAGCTATTTTTTAAAGAGGGTTTTACTTGTAATGTGAACTTGCATATGTGGTTGTTTTACCTACTTTAGCTGAATGCACTGAGTGTATGACACTCTGGATAAGAGCGTCTGCTAACTGACTAATATGTTTTTAAAAAGTTCAGGGATGACCACACAGTTGAAAAGTGAAAGGTGGTTATGGTTTGGCTTTGAAGTGGATTTAGATGCACTGTAAAAACATTTTTTTACAAACATTGAGTTGTTTCAACTAATTATTATTAAGTAACTGGTTCCACAGCCTTTTTTCAGCTTATCAACATAGGCAACAATTCAGTCAACTTAAAATGATGTGTTTGCTCAAGTTAATTTACCTAGAAATTATTATTTGGGCATCTTACTTAAAAAAGGCTGTAGAACTAGTTACACACAGTGCTTTTTACATACAATGTTTTCAACATACATATTTGACACACATTGCACATGCTCATTTATACAGTACTTCATATTCAACATGTCCTCATTTGGGATTTGAACTTACAATCTCTCGGTTTATAGCATTACAATCTTCCTGCTACGCCACCATTTCTGTGTCAAAGATTGATTTCACCTGTATTGCTACACTTTGTACTTCAAAGTAAATCTCATCTCTGTTAAAAGTACACTCAAGAAAAACAATGTTATTTATCACAGTGATCAAGGAGTAACATTAAAACATTTTTAATTTATAGTTGAATAAACATATGAGTTAATAAGCACATCATTTAAAATTGACAGAATATTTGCCTAAGTTTTCTCAAGTTTTAGCTAAGTTTGGGCCAACTATATTTTTTGGGTTCAGGTAACACTTGGACCGAAAAGTTGAGTAAAGAATATAATAAAGACTATGGAACCAGTTACGTAATAATAATTAGTTGAAACAATTAAATACTTTTTTTACAGTGTTGCATACTCCTGCAGTATGATACGAAAACAGTGTACAAAGAGATAAGTGTGTACTCACGGACTGCTGCAGGTCAGGGATGACCACACAGAATTCCAGTGACTCCCTACGGGCAGCCCTGTCCCTCTCTGCCCTCCTGTCTGTCCTCCTGCTGGCCCTTTCCCCTCCAGGACCTCCATGGCCAGGCTCCTCCTTGGAGCTGTCTGTCTCAAAACCTCCAGAGCCGTCAGAGAAACTCTGGGCCATCTCCTCCTCACTGGACGTAGGACTCCGAGGCATGGTACTCTACTGGAGAGAGAGAGGAGACAGTGTTATACTGTATACTACTAACATACACACGCTCTGAAAGTCAGGCCCCGAGGCATGCTGGACTCTACTGTCCAGGGGGAGAGGACACAGTGTTATCGGGCTTCATCATACAGTTAAGGTGTCCACAGAACTCGGCTAGGCAAAGCAACCATCTGTGCTCTCGTACTCCCTAAAGACGTTCGCTTGAAAAACAAGAAAATGTTTACTATTGTTTGTCCCGCTTGGCCACCCTAGCAACAACATAGCCAGAAACACTTCCTCAAAATAGTCAAATAAATCACGAAATCGGTCATACATTTTGACCTTTTTGCCGAGGAGGTCTTAGTTGCGCAATTTTACATCTAGCTAAGATGTTTGGTGCAGTATTTCTCAAGTGAAAAAATGTGCATGAAAACTAGTCGTCTCTTGTTGAATGACAACAAACACTTCATGTTCTCACTCGTACTAGGAGCACTGGCGTAGCACACACCCCTGCAGGGCGTGGGTTGGGGTCCCCCGGAGGTCGGGCCCCACAGATAGCATATGAACACATCATAAGTCATGAAAAACATGTTTAGAATGACAGGAAATTAGTTTTAAAACTGCAACATTTTCTCTCAGCCTCATGGCAAAATGTGTAGAATTGCAGGAAATTAACTCAGGGATTCTTGAAAGTCGGGACAATCCTTATCCGGCTGAGAAACTTTATTTTTATAGTTGAATAAAATTTATTTTGTTGCATTATTTGAACTTAAAATGTACATTTACGGGATTTTTATAAGTATACTTTCAATATTATTAATTTCAATGTCTGGAAATTCCCTTGTCCGGAGCAAAGGATTCCAATTTCAAACTCTCCAAAAAAGTGTTTAAAATTCTAAAAACTGACAATAATGGATATTAACTGAAAAATGATTTTATGTCGTTTCTTCTCAAAACTGTGATTCTTAAAAGATGTGTCCGGAGAGTCAGTCAACTCCGTCAGAGTTGTCTAAAATCCTAAATGAATCAGGAATGAGCAGGGTCAGCTATACCATAAGGACCCCTTATTCATGTCCTCATTATATGTAGTGCAACAAGACCACTCATGGTCTGTGAAGTTTTCTACTTTTGATTGATTTAAATAGACAATATTGGTCACAACCATAAACTTGGTCACAACCATAAACTGTCAACTCCATCTGCCTGATAGATTAAGATAGAATAAGAATTTTGGTTCAAATATGTTACATTTAATTAGGAGTCATAAAGCAACTGAGGATAAACTAAATTGCTACTGTGAATACCACTTGAATGAAGAAGAAAATATCATTTTTGTCAACTCCGTAAAACATAAATTCCGTCAGATTTTTGTCTAATGTCAACTCAACTCCATCAGTGCTGAAAGATCTGATTGTTTTTATTGGTGATTTTCAAAATTTGACTAATGTTTGAACTTCTTTTTTAGAGGCAGATATATGTCTGTTTTGAGTATCTATTGTCAACTCCTTCAGTGGCTTGTCAACTCCATGACTGATGGCAAGCCCCTTAAGATGGACTTTTTTGTCAATATTCGAAGAAAACAATTTAATCACTGTTCTGCAACATATGTTTAAACAACTAAAGTATTTGCTGTGCAAGACCTGCGGAATAATGTTTGTTTTATGTTTTAAATATAGAAGAAGAAAAAAACACAAATGTTAACAAAATTAGCCCTGGAGCATTTAATAGTGCTATAAAAAACAAAACTAAAATAAGTTTGGAGATTTGTATTACATATTTGAATAATCTAATGTTAGAATTAAGCAATCACATAACACATATCAGTATTGGTAAACATGAATATAAACTAAACTTATTTGCCGACGATCTCTTGATATGCCTGACTAATATTGAAAACTCAACGCCCCCCTTCTTTAATCTCAGCATATAACATTTACGTGGAAAAAAAAGAAATAATGGCAATAGGAAAAAGATAAAAGAATAACTCCTGATCTACAGCAATCCTTGGACCACAAACAAATATGTAAATACTTAAGTGACAACAAACAACAAATATATGAAGATAACTTTATCCCATTACTCCTCAACATGAAAGCAGATCTAATTAAATGGAGAAAAAAAATCCCATAAATCTTACAGGTAGAATAAACCTCTTTAGAATGGAATAGCTCCCAAAGTTGTTATATTTATTTTCGATAATACCAATTACCCCACCGAAGACATTCTTTAAAAAACTATACTCGGCCATAACAGACTCTATATGGGAAAATAAAACTCATTGAATAAAAATGAACGTTTTACATCTTCCTAAGTCTGAGGGTGGTTTTAAACTTCCAGACTTGCAATTGCATCAACTCGCCACCCAAAACTTTTACTTGTGACATATTGTTAAATGCACTAAAGAGGAACAATGGGTACATATTGTTCGCCAAAAGGCATGTGGGAGACTCCCCAAACATATGGAAGAAGGTACTCTGGTCAGATGAGACTAAAATTGAGCTTTTTGGCCATCAAGGAAAACGCTATGTCTGGCGCAAACCCAACACCTCTCATCACCCCGAGAACACCATCGGCAGGGACTGGGAAACTAGTCAGAATTGAAGGAATGATGGATGGCGCGAAATACAGGGAAATTCTTGAGGGCAACCTGTTTCAGTCTTCCAGAGATTTGAGACTGGGACGGAGGTTCACCTTCCAGCAGGACAATGACCCTAAGCATACTGCTAAAGCAACACTTGAGTGGTTTAAGGGGAAACATGTAAATGTCTTGGAATGGTCTCGTCAAAGCCCAGACCTCAATCCAATTGAGAATCTGTGGTATGACTTAAAGATTGCTATACACCAGCGGAACCCATCCAACTTGAAGGAGCTGGAGCAGTTTTTCCTTGAAGAATGGGCAGAAATCCCAGTGGCTAGATGTGCCAAGCTTATAGAGACATACCCCAAGAGACTTTCAGCTGTAATTGCTGCAAAAGGTGGCTCTACAAAGTATTGACTTAGGGGGGGGGGGGGGTGAATAGTTATGCACGCTCAAGTTTTCTGTTTCTTTGTCTTATTTCTTGTTTGTTTCACAACAAAAAATATTTTGCATCTTCAAAGTGGTAGGCATGTTGTGTAAATCAAATGATACAAACCCCCCAAAATCCATTTTAATTCCAGGTTAAAAGGCAACAAAATAGGAAAAATGCCAAGGGGGATGAATACTTTCGCAAGCCACTGTATGTGCAAACTGTCACGTATACTCCCTCTCCGGCGTTCGATGTCGCCAGTCTGTTCATTATTACGCACACCTGTCACCATCGTAACGTGCACCTGCGCCTCATGTGACTCACCTGGACTCCATCACCTTCCTGATTACCTCCCCTATATCTGTCACTCCCTTTGGTTCCTTCCCCAGGCGTTATTGATTCTGTTCCTGTGTTTCATGTCTGTACGCTACTGGTGTTTCTGGTTTTGTTCCATGTTCTTTTATTATTAAATTCACTCCCTGTACTTGCTTCCCGACTCCCAGCGTACGCGTTATACAAACATAGTTTGGAAATATGCACTGGTGGCCAGGGAGGCATCTCTTTGTTTGAATGATGGCCCACATCAACTCTGGCAGACTTCTTTACAATACAATAGAATATCCATTAGTTACAGTGAACAACAAAAATTGGTCTTAATTTTCTCCTTTCCCCCTTCTGATAACCAGGTGGCGAATCACATCTCTGCATGTCTGGCAGACATATCAGTGTGGATGTCGGATCACCACCTCAAGCTGAACCTCGGCAAGACGGAGCTGCTCTTCCTCCCTGGGAAGGACTGCCCACTCCATGATCTCGCCATCACGGTTGACAACTCCATTGTGTCCTCCTCCCAGAGTGCAAAGAGCCTTGGCGTGACCCTGGACAACACCCTGTCGTTCTCTGCTAACATCAAAGCGGTGACCCGATCCTGCAGGTTCATGCTCTACAACATTTGCAGAGTACGACCCTACCTTACACAGAAAGCGGCACAGGTCCTAATCCAGGCACTTGTCATCTCCCGTCTGGATTACTTCAACTCGCTGTTGGCTGGGCTCTCTGCCTGTGCCATTAAACCCCTATAACTTATCCAGAACGCCGCAGCCCGTCTGGTGTTCGGCCTTCCCAAGTTCTCTCATGTCACCCCGCTCCTCCGCACACTCCACTGGCTTCCAGTTGAGGCTCGCATCTACTACAAGACCATGGTGCTTGCCTACGGAGCTGTGAGGGGAACGGCACCTCCTTACCTTCAGGCTCTGATCAGACCCTACACCCAAACGAGGGCACTACGTTCATCCACCTCTGGCCTGCTAGCTCCCCTACCTCTACAGAAGCACAGTTCCCGCTCAGCCCAGTCAAAGCTATTTGCTGCTCTGGCACCCCAATGGTGGAACAAGCTCCCCCACGACGCCAGGACAGCGGAGTCACTGACCACCTACCGGAGACACTTGAAACCCTACCTCTTTAAGGAATAACTGGAATAGTATAAAGCAATACTTCTACCCCCCCCCCCCCTCCCCCACCCCCCCATAAAAAAAGAAGGAAAAAAGTGGTTGTCCCACTTGCTATCATAAGTTGAATGCACCAATTTGTAAGTCGCTCTGGATAAGAGCGTCTGCTAAATGATGTAAATGTAAATGTAAATGTCTTCTGCTCCATTCTCAACCACCCCAAACAGCAGACCTGACACATACAGTTGATACAAGCACAGGTTAAAGCAGCATCCTTGGATGGAGAGCATGTTGTGGGTTAAGGGCCTTGCCCAAGGATGTGAACCCAGCAGCCCTACAGGCCCAACTTTCTTTCCACAAATATTACAAGCCCTAGAAATATCCAAAGGAATAGATCCCAGCCAACATCATGTCTAGTTTAGTATATCCATGTCTGTGAAATGTTAAATTGTCTATTGTCTTTGTATATGTCTATTGTCTATTGTCTAAAAAACGAAATAAAATCTTACAAAAAAAATTATGAAACAATCAAGGCCTTTAAACAATTGTTGGACAATAA